AAGATGGACATGGATCGAGGGGGCAAGTCATCTTCCTCACCATTCCAACTGCATTCCAAATGCAGTCACATTGGATCAGATTAGGACAGTGGTGTTGGGGAAGGTTAATTATTCTTATTGTTGTGTGCCTTCAAGTCATTTCCGTCTCACGGCGATCGTAAGGCAAGCCTGTCACAGGGTTTTCTTGGCAATTTTTTTCAGACTGGGTTTGCCATTGCCATCCTCTGAGGCTGAGAGAGTGTGACTTACCCAAGGTCATCCAGTAAGTTTACATGGCCGAGCTGGGGTTCAAGCCCTGGTCTCTAGAGTGATCGTCCAAAGCTCAAACCACTATACCATGTTGGGTTTCCTCCCCTCCATTTAAAGCACACCCAAGGATGCTTTTAAACCTTCAGGGTGCAGGGGAACTACTGGTGTTTTTAGTCTGATTCCCCCCTTCATTTAGACCTAAAGTGACTTTGAGAAAAAGAGTAATTTTTGATTATGAAACCAATATGGTAAAAGAAGGGATTATATTTCCCACCCTTCACAGCACTGCAGCCTTGACACACGATTATATCTTCACAGGATTATAAAAAAGGATTATACCTCTCACCATACACAGCATTGCTGCCATTCCCATCCTTGCCTGGACTATATTAAAAATGCAAAGACATGCAGTTAGAGGTCCAGTTAAGGATCTTCTTGGTCAGTACTACTCAAATTGGTGATGTGTGGACCAGTGCTGGTCTGCATGCTGTTGGCTGCTGGTCTGCACCAAGTTTCCTGGAAAGAAACAGTTATTGTCAAGGGGCACAAATGTGGTGCTGATCCCTAGTACATTGGTGCGGGGGGGGGGGGGCAATCCTGCCCATCATCAGGTAGCTTAAGAAGCACTGTCCTTGACCAAGTGTAGCTTGGGCTGCTTCTACACTGCAGAAACAATCCAATTTGACACTGCTTTAACAGCCATAGTTCAATACTATGGTATTCTGAATTTTGTGGTTTTGTAAGATATTTAACCTTCTCTCTCAAAGAACTCTGGTGCCACAACATACTACATTCCCTCAGGATTCCATAGCATTGAGTTATAGCAGTTAAAATGCTGTCAAGTTGCATTATTTCTGCAGTGCAGATGTAGCCTTATTATAGTTCCACATCTCACACAGGGCTCTTTTTACACTCTATGTAGTTATAGTGTCATTATTCCACTTTAACTGCAATGGCGACATCCTATGGAATCCTAGGATGTATATTTGGTGGTGGGAGGAGGGATATTTACAATTCTCAGCAAGAGAGCTCTACAGGCTCACCAGAATACAAAGCCCAGGATTCCATTAAGTGCTATAATTGTGTAGATTGAAAGGGCCTGTATACTATCTGAAAGTCAAATACATTAGAAATTTGTTTCCATTTAATGTTCCCCTATAGTCCAACACAAAGGAAGCACAATCGTATTCACTATAAACAGTTGCTAAATGCAGTTTAGTCCCAGGGTCAAATGGTGAACAGTAAGTCAACACTTATGTTTAAGTCCCACTGACTCAGGGCCTGAACAAACTGCCAAAAATAATTCAGCTTGAGACCACTAACTGCCCTGGCTCAGTGCTAGGGAATCATGGGAACTGTAGTTTATTGTGGCACCAGAGCTGATAGAGAAGGCTCAATGTCTCAGTAAAAAAACATACAATTCCCATGATTCCCTAGCATTGAGCCAGGACAGTTAAAGTGATCTCAAGATGGATTATTTCTGGCAGTCTGTTCAGGCCCTCAGTTGGTCAACTTTGGTTGTGACTAAAGGGCTCCAAATATACTGGTGGATTCTGTCCAATTTGCTTTAAAATGCTTTGTCTCACAATCAGTTTTCTGATGGACTGAAGATATTCTGTTATCATTTGGCAAATGAGAAAATTGAATTTGAATTGAAACAAACTGATTTTACACATTATATTTCATCATAGATTCTCTCTGGCTTTTCTTCATGGGAAGAATCTGACATGGTCTAGAAACTGTAAGCAACAACGATTTTGAGCCCAGTTTGATTGTGGGAAATGCAGCTCAGCCTTTGTCATAATTACTCATTACATCAATCTAATGAGATGATCATTTTTATGAAACACATTAAGTGACTAATTTAAACAA